ATGGACAATAATTCTACAATTTCTGTTACCAATATGTATATTGATGTTTTGTTATACATCTGTATATATAATAGTTAATAGAAATTGTTCAATGTATCGTACATCAGATAAATTAAAACGAAAAGATATGTCAAATTTACCATCAAGCAAAATAACAAAACATTTTGACAGTGTTTCAACATCAACAACAGTAATTGAAACAAAAAGAAAAAGCTCCTTAAATAGTCGTAAACATTTTGATTATCCACGTGTTAAATGCGCAAATATAGCAAATGAAGCATTTTCAAACGAACCTTCATCACATAATGTGCGTGATTTGATGTATCCGGTTGTATTTCGTCTTCGACGTTCACCAATTGATTTAACAAAAAATCACAGTATGAATAGTTTTGAGGGACAACAATTACGACAACGTTGTGGTGCAAATCATTTTCTATCACGAGCCCGTCTTAAAACAATTAAATTAACATTCATTGTTGTTCTAACTTATATTCTTTGTTCAACACCATTTTATATTGGATCAATAATAATGGCATTACACGAAAAATTTATTTCACAAAAAACAATGAGTATGAAAAGAATCAGTTTTCCTATTTTTCTACGTCTTTTTTCTGTATTTATTCTGTTAGATTGGCTTATGACTATATTTAGTCTTCTATTTAATTTAAATAGTTGCTCAAATCCAATTATATGGCTTACACTTAGTGGTTCTCTACTTCGGTAAGGTTTAGTTTTATTTAATCGAATTATTTGATCGTTCGAAATCTTGAGATTCATTTATACTTCACATCAATATACTAACTAGGACTAGAAAATATACAAAATTAGATAGTAGTTATAAATGATTTTCCAGAGATGAGTTTGTAGCCTAGTAACCGTTATATTCTAAGTACGTGAAGAATTACCTTCATTTTTTCTATTTTTTTATTTTTAGATTTAAGAAAAATAGTTCACAACGACCAACGCCATCATCACTAAAGAAGCCAATAAACACTTCTAATAAAATTAAAAGGAGTTCATCAAAACTTTTTGAACCGTTATAAAACATTCATTTTTTGTTGTTATTGTGTAGTCTTAGTCGTAAATATGTATTAGTGTAAGATATTTTAAATAAAAAATAAGATATATGCCACATTAAGTGCGTAGTAGATTTATAATATGGCAATAATGCAAAATCAAAACGACTCTTTCTGCTACATGTTTATATGATTAAACAGAGCTCAGCGCACTCAATACCAATATCTGTATAGAAGCCAATTCATATATCTTTTCATTGAAGAAAGCTCACAAAGTCTATTATAAATTATCATGGAAGGCTCTACATTTTTCATACGAAGGAAAATTCGAACAATTTATTAATGAAAGTGGACGGTTTTGCATCTCTTTGTTTCGTTATAGATGCTCTTCGTGATGTTGACTCCGTCTGTCATGACCTAGGGGTAGTCCTAATTTATACATACTTCAATACCATATTTAGATTGTCTTTCACAAAAAAAGTTCGGAGATTCTTGAGGTTTTCGTCATTAAGACTTGATTTTTATGAAAAACAAGCATCATTTTGAGAATCGTGACTCAAAAACACGCCGAAACATCAATATCTGATCGTGAAATCTTTGTTACCAAAAAACTACGTTTACATTTCATAAAAAAATAACAACTCGAAGTGACGAAAATCTCAAGGCTGATCTAATTCCTTTGATTTATTGTCTGAAATATAGGCTTTTTTCAACACTAAATAGCTATCTTTTAAAAAATGACGCATAATTTCTATCTAGCATTATTAAGACCGAAATGAAATGAAAGATGTGACTGTTAATTTTCTCATCACACTCACATCTACACTCCAAAGGGAATTTCTCAAGGAGATTTCAATCGTATTACTTTTTCACACTAGGAAGATATGGTAGTACAAATAAATTTTTTTCAGCAGACATGTGATTGATTTAAAGAGAATTTATTCATTCATTTCTATCTTGACGAGCAAAAGTCAAAAATGAAAAATATTGCATCGAATATTGATTAATGAATATATATTTCTAGTCTTTCGTTCTTTTTCTCTTGGCTGACATATTTATGGTAAATGAAACCTGGTAGATATGTTTATAAATTTTTTCATTTCTCCTGATTTATGTGACTTTGTATGGTGTGAACCATTTTTGTATAAACGGGAATAATTCCCACATCAATTAGTGCAATTGTTCATTGATGACAAAAACGAAAAAGACTTGAGATCTGCACTCTGTTACACGTGATGTGTCATTTGCGCGAATATCACTCAACAATTTATAAAGTTCACAATAGACTTGTATTCGTCAAATTAACTATGTTTTTTTCTCTTTTTTTTTATAGCGTCTTCTGTGTGTAAGGCCGGCGGTGGCAGGGTCTTTGGCTTTATCACCACCTTACGTGTCGCCTCTTGGCCAGGCATCACATCACATTAGCGTTCTTGAGGCATCAACCGTGGCAACTTCAGTCTCCAGAAACAAAAACGAATATCATGACCATTATCAACAAAAATAAGAAAAAAAAGCATTACAAATGCTGTGGTTGTTTTTTTGTAGAAAGGAAAACTAAAATATGAAAACAATGTGATACTAGATCTAGGTAAATCCAACATGTGCCCCGTCTTAATTAAATCAAATATATACTTTTTCACTTAGAAGAAAGAAAAAGTAAGCAATAGCTTTTCTAAAAAGCAAAAAACGAAAATTGTCTGAACAGATGAATGCAACGTTGAAGGTTGATTATCAATTTCGAGTTTTTCATATTCATAAGATTTTTCAACTCTATAATTGACCCTTTTGTTTAACTATATTATATGAAGTAGGTGTTTCTTTTAATTGTTTCGATTTTTTTTTAAACAATTCTTTGTATATGTCAAAAGAAATTACCAAAAGATTCTTTCAAACACAACATAATTAGCTAAAAAAGCCACGTACGTCAAAAGCTGTAGTTTAAAAAAAATACCCAGCAAATCTCTCATGGAGTCGTATGAAAAAACGAAAAACTTGTATTTTCCAATTCCATTCTGTGATTAGTCCCATGCGGACCTCTGATTAATATACATTAGTAGTTAATCATCATTCAAAACTTTTCAGATTCAATGAATTCGTTACGTACATCAACTTGAGACAATGAAATAAGAAAGATTGTACAACCGTTTATCGTATCAATCTATAAGAATTGCTGCACCCTATTTCTAACATTAACTAACAATGCTTTTTGTGCATTTTCATATCAACTCATTAAATCTAACATTTCAATAATAATATTTTGAATTTTCTTTTGAAATATTGCACCACCATGAGATCAGCTTGATCGTCTACAAAATCCAATCGTAGGTTTTAAATCAATCATACAGTAACTGCAACGTGACCGAAGTTCTTTGCTGCTGGTACTTAACAATAAAAATTCAACTGTCAATCATCTTCAATAATAAATCGATCATCTACAAAAGAAAGATGAAGATCTTCAAAGTGAATTACATTTAGTTGCACGAACTTTTAGTATATGATGTATAATATATTTAAGAATCGATCATGATTAGATTTCTTATTTTTAGTTCTTGAGTTGATTCTTGTAGTATCAATTGGTGTATGCTTTATTTGTAATCTGAAGAATGTAATGTCTACCTATATAATCTATGAAAATATTATTTTTAAGTTATAGATCACATAAGATGTATTCTACTTTTATTTCATCATGAACATCATGATTATCTTAAACTTAAAACTCATCATCAATATCATGATTTTATCAATACTTTTTTTTATCTTTAAAAATATTATTTTTGTCTTTTTTTTTCTTGTTATCAACAATAGGTTTTTTTATTTATTATTCATTAGTAATTCATCGTAGCAGTCTTGATATTTTTCTGATTAACATAATGATTTTCTTAATTTTTTTCATTAACATAATTATAGTTTTCAATAATTTATCTTCAATAAATTCATTGTAGTTTTCTCACCAATACGAGATAGACCAGTCGATTTTATTGCCAAAAGGATGTGAATGCCGATATCAGTTTTCTCTTCATCCACAACCTATCTTTAAAGATCTCACAAAGCTTATAGCTTCCAAGTATTTGAATCTACAAAGAGTTTCAGGTCGATCGTTCAAGTTGTCCGTGAGATATTCAACTTGTAAGATGGTATATTTCTAGATCCCACCTTTTAAATTATGGGGAGAAGATTCATAAGACACCTACGCATTAATAATTTTGAAACGTACTGCGTAAAAATGCATCACCCTTAACTCTATTAAAATATGAAATTGAGCGAAGTCTAAGACCACTCATCGAGCAGGGCTCGCCATGACTGACATTGACTGACTTTCATACAGAAAACCAAATCCTTTTGCTATTTTCGCTGTTAGTAATTGTAAGAGAAATACATTAAGTGATTTGCGATATAACGCAGTATTGCAGTGCTGACTATATGTGCCCAGTACTGAATACAGTGTGACTATATTGAATTTAGTTCTTTAAAGCAGCTTGTGTTTCACATAGTACTCACTCAGTATTTTTCGTGTATAAGAAGTAAGCCGTACTGGATCAGAACTGGTACGAAAAAAACCAATGTTTCAGTACGGAACAATCAATCTTGTTCTCAAAAACTGTTCTTATGCACTATCTAGATCCTTCACTCAATGTCAAATAAGATATGCAGATAATCATGGAGTGCTTGTATACTTCTCTTTTAAAAAACTGGCACATGCACGAAGAAGTTGTAACTTTACAGATAATAAGATGTTAAACGGTTAGAATATCAAAGAATGTACTGCCTTACGAACTAATTTCATCTAACTCACGCTGGTCTCATATTTAGCAGAGTTTAGTAGATCGTCAGCTGAGAAACATGGTTGGTTTATGTTAGATATATAGATGTTCGATGATGTGTTATCGAATTGAAGACAATAAAAAGAATTACACAACAGATCAGAGTAACAGAAACGAATAAAATCAAGAATAAATGTTATTTAATATGACGAAATAGGAATTATTATGAATCAGAAATGAAACGATCGATGAGATCAAAGGCTGCACGCGGTTGTTCATAGGGAACCGAGTGACCAGCATTACGGACCCAAGCCACAAAGAAAGAATGTGCTTGTTTCAGATAACCAGCTACCTCTCGATCGTCTTCTTTCACTTTCCAAATGATGCGTTCAGCACTACGCAACTGGTCGGCATAGTTCCATTGGAGTTTATCAACCCAATTCATTGTTACCGAGGAGGGTATAATAACATCAAGTAATCCAGTGTAAATCAAAACTTTATAGTTACTATTGGCAATCATTGCTACTTTGCTTGCAATCGACTGCATAGCATCATCTTGGAGACCGATTTGTACCTTTTCACCATCATTATATGTCATATTGCCCACATGAAATTGACGACGATGTTCACTTGCTGTCACCCAAGGAATGTAATAGAATAACTTCTCTGGAAAATCTGTGCGAAGATAATTTTCAGCATCAATCATACCGGTATTATTAGGATAGATATTATCGAACAGATCGCCAAAAATAGAGTAAGCTTGTTGATATTGACCTTGACGAATCGCTTCACGCGCCAGTGCTGTCAATAAATTAACATATTCTAGTTGTCGTTGATCAATCAAACCCATTTGATACATAGCTGGTCCATAATCCCATTGATTATAAGGATCAACCAAACCGTCACCAATGGCCATCCCTTTCAGATTGATTTTCAATTTGGCTTGAGGATTTTCTGTATGAATTTTGTAGACAATGGCTGGTACATATTTGCCACCATACGACTCGCCAGTAGCATAGAAATCACACGAAGCATATTCGTAATAGATTTGAAAGAATTGAATGAGCATCGCATAGAGATCGCGTGCTACTTCATCTTCGGTGTGCACATAACATAGATCGTCAGCAGTAAAACTAAAACCAGTGCCGACTGGTTGATCTATAAAGAGAAGATGATATTTGGAATTCCAAGTGATATTACGCGGATGGAGTTGCCCGACTTCGTCCACTTGAATAGGGCCATGTTCGGAGAAAAGACCAAAGAGAGATGATGCACCAGGTCCACCTTGTAACCAAACAAGTAGCGGTGAATCAATATGACCATTTTGAGCAGGAAAGAACCAAAAGAAGAGGCTACTATTACATGTCTTATTGACAGTTAAATAGCCGGAATACGATGGAGAAGAATAAGCTGGTTGTAAATGTACTTGACTCAAGCTACGGGCTAGATCAATTTGACCTGTTTCTAAATAAGGTGTAAGGAAGAGTGGCTCGCCGGGATCATCATCCGGTCGCAGCGGAGTTCGAGGGATACTGGCAAAGTGACGACGAAGTAGATCGAAGGCTTCGACGCATATTGATGAATAATATAGGAGGAGAACAAAACCAGACAGAAGGTTTCGAGAATGGAACATAGTTTGTTCGTTGTCTCTCAAGATGTGTTTATGTGCATGCACGAATATGTGTTGCGTTTCTTATCAAAGATTAGTAGAAAAGAGAAAGAAAAATGTTTGTAATCTTCATAATTACATAGGTTTTTGTCCTCTGACAAATGTGGCCAGGTAAACTCTCAAGGATGGACCATGCAGTGACGACAAGGTAAATCAGAGCTGATAAATCGGCCAGCATGATAAGAATTCGTATGAATAAACCCAATGAGTTGATTGGACAACAATACTTGATAGAGATTGTTAGCGATGGATAGCAGTCGATCTTTCTTCAGGACGAGTTAGTTGATCACCTCAGTAGTATTAGGAACATGAAAAAAATACCCGATTGTAACAAAAATACTAACAAAAACTCTCATGTGCCCACAAAACCACTATTCGAACAATGGGAAGAACGGCAGTTCGATAGACCGTAGTGGCATAGTCACGACGTGGGAACTGACTAGTGACAATGCTTGGTTCCCAAGTATGACTCTCAGTTTTCAATGGAATATATACAAGTTTGTCGAGCTGATTCTCATGGTATGTTCCATTTTTCTCCTTAGAACTCCAAATGAGAAAAACCGATGAATTTTGCTAGTGAATTTCTTCGGTTTGTATAGGTTTTGAGACAATTGTAAATAATCTGGGACTTAAAGGATACTTAAAGTTAAATGGTCATGTTAAAACATAGGCAATACCACATGTAAAATTCTATTATGAATTATTTTAAAAGAAGGGGAGAACAGCATTTTCTTGCAAAACTCAATTCCATTATTCTTATGAATATTAATTGTAGAAATATGACAGTTGTAGGAACTTTAGCGATCCTGATAAAAAAATTTTATCATGTATCTAGAAGGTGGATCTAAACTTGCATTTAAGATAGTATAATAGGCTCACATGTGGTATTGCCTATGTTTTCACCTGACCATTTAAACTTCAAGTACCCTTTAAGATCCAAATTACTTACAATTGTTTCAAAACCTATCCAAACTGAAGAAATTCACTAGTAAAATAGATCTGTTTTTCTCATTTGGAGTTCTATAGGGAAAAATGGAACATACCATGAGAATCAGCTTGTCAGCTCTACAGACTGGTATGTATTCCATTCAAAACTGAGACTTACACTTGGAGATCTTCTCTCGTGGGTATTTTATCATAATATTTTTCTACTTTTTTGTCTTATTATTTCGATCATGTTCTGTGCTTTTTTCATACCCATCCATGAATATATGCTTCTAAATTAACAATAGAAATTAGTTTTATTCGTGATTGCTAAAAAGGAGTGTACAGAAGAAAGATAATGAGAAAAAAGAAAAAGTAGTTACATAAACTTGATCATATTTAGAGAGAAGACAGCGAATAAAATATGTTTAACAAACATGTAATTTACATCGAGACCAACTAGCAAGATGTGAAACTTAGTGCTATAATGTCTTCAATTGTAGAGTGAGAAGTGCTCAATGGTGATATCTAAATGATTGCATTCTTGAGTTATACATGAAATATTCCAGTAATGCTATATTATCAGGAAGAGGAAACGACACCAACTTCGATCTTTTATGAAGAAAAGTTTTATAACCTACTAGTAAAGTTTTTCAAAGAAAACTAGACGTACCACATATGAAAACTTCAACTCGATAGTCTTACTTTTGTGCCAACAATTTCTTTTGATGATATTAAACTTCATGATCGAAACTGTATCCTTATTTTTCTCTGATTTGATTCTTTCTTGTAAAAAAAGGGCATTTAGAAAATAATAGAAATGGACTAGTTTGCAGACGGAAAAATTTCTGTGAGTTGACATCTTTCGCATCTCAAAACATCAAACGACGAGAATTAAAAAAGTCAACTTTCTGAGCATGATTCCAAAGTTTGAAGAATTGTAATCGTTGCCATTTTTTATAAGTACATTACCCGAGTGGACATATGAATATTTTATGAAAACTTATTGAAGGTGTTAGAATGAAATAATCAAATTCAAAATCTAAAATCTTTCTGCTTCCATTCATCGCTCTTTTGCCAGACGCCCTCTTAACTCTGATTTCTAATAAAACATCAATTTATTAAGCAAAGAAAAAGTTCAAATAAAATAATAACTATTTTTGAACAACATTCATTTATTATTTTTGATAAAAGCATTAAAACATTCTGTCAAGATAATTTCACTAATAAAAATCCAATAGATTCGATACTATTGTTTTCAATCAGTAAATAGCGATGGCAATCACTCAATTCAACTATCGCAGTTCAGCCTGAGGGGCTACAATTCTTATTTCCGGTGTAATTCTTCGAATATTTCCCTTGCATGTAATCAGTGTCATAAATTCTTGTCGAAATTCATCCAATGTAATCAAATATAATGGAAATGACAGTATATGATATGAATAAAGAAGACCATCAAAGAATCTCAAAAGAGTAATATCTGATGTAGAGAAAAATGCAAACGCTATAGTTGATGGTACAGTCATCAATAAAAAGAGAAATGTTGTAATGACTAACGTAACTGAAATTGCTCGATGTCGAATTCGAGAATTTCGAATTATTGTGGTACGTTTAAAACGAATCAAATGATAAATAACACCACTGTTAAATATGACCATGAATATAAATGGTGCACAATTATAAATAACGAAATTGACATAATCCCATATCGGATAAATATTGTACAGCCAAGATAGAGCAGTAATCGTACCATCTGCTTCATAATAGCAAACAAAGAGAAAAAAATGAAAATTGAGAAGTAAAAGGATGCCTAAGATGGATGCAATAATAATGAGAACATTCTTCGATTGACTAAACCATGTTCGATGAAGATGACTCAATGATAAATATCGATCAAGACAAACAAATACACGTAGCCATGCTGATGATTGAGCAGCAAAATAACTAATAAAAGAAAAGAATCTGCATGATATTATGGAATAGTGCAGAATATGAAATTCGTATACAATTGTGAGATAATGATCGAGATTCCATCCATATAACATGCATATATCAAAGATTGCCATTGCACGCATGTAATGAAGTATTGGTTTTGCTCTTTTATCTCTAAATGATGATCGACAGAGAACAATAAATGTTATCGTATTGAATGAAGTGCCCAAAATAATCAAAGTTAATGAATAGTAGGCAACAATCAAAGATTCTATTGATGATCTATTTGTTGCTATTGTTATTGTGTTATTGTATGACATTATGTAGTAGATTATTATCTATAAAAAATAATTTCCTTTGAATTAAGATTAGATCTATAAGAGAAAAAAGCAGCTGAATTAGATAAGACTTATATTCTCGTTCTATTTTCTATTATCACAAGTGTTTTACAAAATAATTCTAGTAAAGAAACTACGTTGGCACATAAACTAACTTAGAATTTTTCTAACGAGAGTAAGATAGGACATCGTAGATTTGAATTCTGTGTTCTTCAGATAAAATGTCATTTTGACATAGTCTTAATTAAATGAGACATAAGGTGACTACGAGTATTTTTTTTTATGAATTACTCAAAAAAATGTTTTAATTGGGTCTGTAATTATTTGACAAAGAATAGTCCCCTTCAAAGTTATTCCGAAGATAGAAAACAAAGAGCATCGATGACTGTTTTGGTAGAGATTGCGAAGAATTCTGACACTTTTGAAAATGCATCTTCTCTTCATTCAATCTAAAATTGATGATATGTGAAACTGGTAAAAGGTTGAAGGAACTCACGCAATTATCAACATAATTCGTTCGATTCGAAATATTCAACGAAATTTAATGAACCTGAAATTTTTAGAAGCTCGTCATAATGTAGTTCAAATGATACGGTGAAAGCATTCCGTTCAATATGCTTACTAGAAAGAAAAATTTATGTGATAAATTTTAGTAAATTGTTCTATTCAATTGGCTGACAACTATGTAAATTAGAACTGACAGGGCTTTTACGTCACAACAGTGCGCAAGTATTATTTAAGCTCTAGTTCTTAACTCTGTCATTTCACTGTCAGTCATAGATTTATAGTAAATAAATTGCATGATACACGTAAGAGGTAGAACGGTGCTTACCAACAAGAAAATCTACTATAAAACCTTTTAGCTTGTATCGTCTGAAGTTGAAAGTGATTTTATCATTTACTGTGTCGCCTGTGATTGTTATGCGATAACATTTTTTGCGTCTTATTATTTTTCACCAAATAAAAATCTATTTTCTATATGACACTTTATTTAAAATGCATCCTCACGAAACTCTTGATTATCAATACCGTGACTCTTTCAGTTGTGTGTCAATGTAAGAAATGCTATAGAACAAACGAGTGTTGTACAAACCTACGTTGAAAAAGCACACTCGTATGTAACAAAAACTAAGCCGAAAAATAGCCTTCACACAGAGCAGTTGAAAACAATGAATGTAAATGGCTATCGTCAACAATCGTAACTTGATCATGAATTCACATGTTCATCTCGATCAAGGCTTTCAGCTGTTGAATCCAGCATCAAACTCAATCCGGAATAGTTATTCGAAAAACCTAGATCGTGTTTGAACAATAGATTTAATAGTATACTTTACTTTATCAAATAAAATTATGCATTAATTTATGAAATAAGTTACATATTTTTTGTGGTTACAAGATGATGAAGAGCAGATTAGTGATCAGGCAAGATTACATTTCTTATCACTAAAGAAAAGGTTCTCTGAATATGACGCTGAAGAAATTCTGAAATGTATTAATGCATTGATACACTTCTTTTCTGCTATGACAGAGAATTATCACTTGTGTATCAATAGGACTTGTGACTCCAATTAATGACTATGCGTCCGCTCTATATGTTACTATGATATACATACAAAACTGTCAGAAGCTGTACTTCATTTACACTCTTACGCACGAATGTTGGAACACGCACATAGTGAATATTTTTGTAAGCTAGAACATAAAAATATTCTATAGAAAACTAGACCAGAGTAACCAAAAACTGAAGCACTTGAAGCAAACAAATATCAATAAAAAAAATTCTTTTACTAGGTATAAGATTCGAACTTACATACTTTGCTTCATGGGATATTTATTCACAGTACTTACAACTGTATTCAAAACTTTTGAATGCATACAAAATCCGATAGTTTATTAGTTGCGTGTGCATTAATGTTCATAAATATACGAGAGTCTGAGAACATGCAAATGATTCTTTGTGATAATATTGAATCAAAGTGAAAACTAAGTTCTCGCATAAACTAGTAGATTGTTTTGTCTCGGGTATAGTCTTTTTCTATTGACATGAAGAATTCTTGTCCAGCGCTAAATAATGTGCAGCTGCATGCCGATAAAATTTTGGAACTTTCATGAAACTAATATATCTTACACGAGCATGGCAGACTATTACATACAAGCATCTGCTAGAAAAAGAATCGTGCATGATCTCATATGTCGTTCTTCAAAATTTAAAACTCATGTTTGCATAGATGTGTCTGAGAATTGTATCTCTATATATATTCTATTCTCTTATATTTAAGTACAAAAACTAAAAATATTTCAAACAACTTGAAAAATATGGTGCAACCAAATGCATGTTTAAAACAATACATATACATACACGTAGTGCTTAAGCATTAGTGTTTGAGAAGATAGAAATTCCTTAAAAACACTCACTGGTCTAAACAATAGTTGATTCTAATTTGTTGAAAAACTATTTCTTAAGTCATGACTGAAATTCTCAACAGAGATTATCGAAATTTACTCAAGTGTCTTGAAAAGCACGGTTTTTAACAGTAGTGATGTATTTGTTATTACAATAATGAGGAGAA